TGTGTGTGTGTGTGTGTGTGTGTGTGTGTGTGTGTGTGTTCACGTGTATGCCAGTGTTGTTTTGTCACATGTTGGACACTGATCTCCCTGAAAATCCCTTAAGTGGCTCTTTTTGCTTTTGGGGGAGTGACTTCCATGAAAAGCTCTCTCACACACTTATACACACTGGTTGACATTATAACTTAGCACGCCACCCTAACTTTCACCATCACAGGTGAATGCCTCTGACCCTTACTGCAACTTAACCCTAATTCTAACTTTTACCCTCAGTGGTGTGGTTGTTAACATGCAAAAGATCCTGAGAGCAGAACGCGACACAAGCTAGTTTACTTCTAGTTCTGATCCCAAGGATACTGTGGCGGCTACTTTGGAAACAAGGAAGTGTTTGGAAAAACAAGTGCTTGAGACAAAAATCAAGCGTAGTACTGCGATATTTGCATGTATCTATACAGGAACACCGAATTTGGATATTTTAATAAATTAAAATACTCTCGGAATACAATGAAAAATCTCATGCAGCACCATCCTGAGACAACGTTAGCTGAGTAAACTTACATTAAATTAACTCAAACAACAAACCATCCCACACTGGACACAAGCAGCTTGACAAAACCTAATTCCTAATTCAGAGCAAGCTAATGGCTCAGTCACAGGAGGAAAAATAGAAAGGCGACCTCCTTCAATCAACCAAAATAAATAAATAAATATTGGCTGCCTGGTGTTTGTATTAATTTTTTTTTTTACATTACTGTTGCAACCTGTGGTGACTATTCAATTCAGACTTATTTATATAATGCCAAATCACGACTCCAATCACCTCCAAGCATTTTACATTGTAAGCCAAAGACCCTACAATAATACAGAGAAAACCCCAACAATCAGATCTTAACAACACATAGCAACAGTGAGGACTAACTTGAATTTCAGTAAAAGAAACCTCAGGCAGAAGTAGACTAGTCTGAGGGTCAACTAAATGGTTTCCCATTATTATTACTGTATTATCAGAAACAAATTACATGTAATTGCCAACTTGACCCCATTCAATCGCAGACTGATAGCAAACTGACTCCCTCTTATGGCAGGTTTTAGTAACAGTGCTGGCATGCTTGGAAACAAAAAAGTGAAGTGAGATAACTATCTTATTTGATAAAGAGACGATGACAAAGTTTAACTTTGAGGACATAATTTGCAGTTTAACAATAAGGTGATGGAGCCTTTAAATATGTTATTGAAATACACGGTATATGGCAAAATGTTATAAATGTCAATGATATTGTATCTTGGGGTGTTTGGTGACTCCCACCTATATAAAAAGCAGTGAGGTCCTCGGTTTTTCTCCTTATGGTGACAAAGGCTGATGTGGCATCGGGTGAACTGAGCCTCATTTAGATGACTAGACGAGTGTTTACGCACACCTAGACTGATACGGGGAAACTTATAGATCACGTCACATGTGCACGTGGGGGTTTGAGACTCTTCGGGCTGCCAGCTTCTACCCAGATCCACAAATGTAAGCAGCATTCACGTACTAACAGAAAACTGGGGCATTTGGCCTTTCCCTGGAATTCCCCAATTAAAGATTACAGGCGCCATATAGGAGCCTAGATGTAGTCATTCTACATCACCTGGATTAAATCTATATTTAAAAATGAGCAAGAGATATCCTCGCTTCAGAGAAGGAGCTCTAACTGACCGTTTTACAACAGAAGAACATCCAGCGTGTAGTGCAGGTTAATTAAACCATATATTAACTTTCACAGGCTATTACTCGTTTTCTAGTCGAGGGATGATATATGAAAAACACATGAAGCTCAGATGTCCCAGTTCTCCACCCTCACTTGAAAGCAGCTTATATTTGGCAGCTTAAAAACTGTCTCCAAAATCCACGTGCACATGTGACGGGATCTGTGCGTGTCACCGGGGATTTATACTTATGTGCAGGGACGTCGTAACCCCTTCCCCCGAATCCTACGACGTCACCAGACGTGCACCAGCTTACTGGAAATGTAACTACAGGTGGCGTCGAAGGAGCTGCCAGCTGCTGTGATTGGACTGTGGATCCCTGCTATGCATTTCCGGCTACCTGTTCGCCGCAGTTTTTGAATTTATCACCGAGAATAATAATCATCATCATCACCTCAGTATAAAGACTCACAAACCTTGAATTGGATAAGTGGAAGAAAAAGGATGGATGGAGATGTTAGGGAGATAGTTTCGGCAATCAGTGTGGATGTGATGAAATATGTGTGAAGGGGGCCGGGGGAGGGGTGGCGAGGGACAAAAATTAGCCCCGGGGGAGACAAAAAAGCAACTGACCACTACAAAGAGTGGGGACCCAAGAGGGGGAAAGCCCGGCATTTAATTTGTTTCCATCGTGGCTGACACCGCATATAAAACACCGGGACAGACACCAGGTAATTACAGGGAACACCACGCAAAAGCTGGCAACTACGTCGGTCAGTTATGTAGCTTACGTCGTCAGCTGTACAAAGGTTCACCGCAGAAGTGATGATTAGACTTCTGCGATCAACAGGCGATTCGTGCACGGCTATTTAACGACCTGTAAGTGAGCGAAAAGAACATCACAAGTATTTGTAGACATTTGTGCGTGCTGGAAGTTGGAAATAAAAAGCTAAAACAGCAGATTTGTGAAGTTTAGCGTGTGTGTAAATTATTACTATTTATTTACATGGAATCTCTTTAGATTACTCTGTATTTGTGTTTCGATTGGAGCAGGTATTTGCCAGGGCTTACAATTTACGCACAAGTGGTTGTACACTAATCTTGGTTCAGACTTGTGGGTCGGCAGCTGATCCGTGGGATCCAGACGGGACTGGAGGAAAAACCAGAACAAGGCAAAGCAGGAATTTCTGGAGTTTCTTAAGGAAAAAATGACTAAACCTAATTACTCCGGCACCTATCATATGGTGGAGCAGGAGAATGTGGACGCCTACCTGACAGGTTTAGGTACCAGTCTTTATGCAGCATATTTTATAGTATTATTACCATCAAATCAAATTTAACATTCATTTTTCATGCGTTTATCTTTAAATAATTGTTTATATGTTGACTGATTTATAATCTCCAGTGTCTGATTTAGTGATGTGGACTGTCTACATTTCCAGCAGCACATTAGTGTAATGAAATCACCACCTTTGACCCACTTACACCTCACAAGTGTGTGTTCACTCCACCTGCAGTGTCCGCCCCCCCCCCCCATAAGTGTGGCTTACAAAATCTTTCCCTCTTTTCTCCCAGATGTTAATGTTGCTTTGAGGAAGATCGTGTGTATGTTGAAGCCCACTAAAGAGATCATCCATGACCCAGAGACAGGATCCATAAAAATCAACACAATCACTACCTTCAAGAATTTCAGCATGGATTTTAATATTGGAAAAGAATTTACTGAGGACCTGAGGATAGTGGATGGCCGTACCTGTCAGGTGTGTGTTGTGTTTTTTCCAAAGTTTGCTTTGAAGGTTAGGTACTTGAGTAAAGTCTGTACACTTCCCGCTGGGATTATTCCATAACCACTCGTTGTTGTTTAAAAACCCAGAATAAGAAACATTCAGCTCCTTCCCAAGTATTCAATGATGGGCTACGATGATATTCTTCAGCTGAATGCTAAACAGAGAGGACTCATATCTCAGATTTATGAACTTATCAGTAACCTTAATCCGTGCTCCACTGACTGTCTGAGACTGGGACACTGACTTGGGGATAACTTTAACTGATGAGCCCTGGAACTCTGTCCTAAACTTGGTGCGCTAATCATCTGTCTTTGCTGGTGCAAAGTATTCACTTAACTAATGCTAGATTAGTAAGGATTTATCCCAATGTTGACCTGAAATGTCCTGGGTGAAAGTCCAGACAGCAGATCTGACACACATGTGTTGGTCGTGCCCGGGATTGCCCTCCTTATGGTGAAGAACTTTTAAAGCATTTGGTGAAATGTTTAAAATGTAATGTGACCCTGAGGCGGGGTTTGTGCACATTTGCCAGCCAGGAGTCGTGTTATTGTGGCTTTTAATACTTTGCTTGTAAAATGCTCGAGTTTTCAGAAATGGGAAGTGTGTCATGGCCCAAACAGAGGAGGTTCCTCTGTTGTATTGATTTGATTTATTGATTTACTGATGCTCATCAGTCTGGAGAGGTTATAAAACCATCCTTAAAGAGTTTGTCTCGACAACAGTGACAGTGTTCAGGTTACTGAGTCTAACATCAGCAGAACATTAAACGGCGATGGAGTCCATCATAGCAGCGCAAACTCGACCTGCAGATTGCTAAAGATCTCACTGGGAAACCAGAAGGCTGTTTGAACTCGAATTCATGTATAGATGATGCTGAAGTAGAACTTTTTAGTATGAAATAAGAAGTCTTGTGTTTGGACAAAGGAAATGGCGATGGCATGTTTTGGATAGTTTTTTGTGCATTTAGTCTTAAACAACTTGATGAACCAATGAATTCTGAATCGCACCAGAAAAGTCTCAAGGAGGTGACAGGACCCCTGTCCGTGGATTAAATCTCAGGAGGAAATGGGTCATAAAACAAAAACATCACCCCAAAGTTGTTCCACCAAAGATATGTTAAGGAGATCAAAGATAATGTTTTGGAAAGTCAAAGCCCAAACTATTATCTTTAAATGTTCTTTTTTTAGTTATTGCTGTCTACAGGGTGTCACATGATACAAAAGATGCAAAGGTTGATGAGCTCTTACATTTAGAGATATTATAATATTGGATAATTTTTTTTATCAGGTCAACTAATATTCATGTAATTTTTAAACAAAAATCTGATGTTTTTGGTCACATCTTTGAACAAATTAAGTATATTTTAAAGGGTTCATGACCTTTCACGCATCACTGTATTAGTTTCCCCTTTTTGTGCTGCATAAAGCTTCTTGTCTCTGTGTGGCTAAGCGTTGTGTGAGCTACTGAACATGCTAATATCTCACACTAACGGCATCTCTGTGGTTACACAGACTACAGTAGATTGGGACGGAGACAATCTGGTTTGCGTACAGCGAGGCGAGAAAGAGGGACGAGGCTGGACGCACTGGCTGGAGGGCGACAAGCTGCATTTGGTAAGGATGTACAAGGGGAACAAGAGGCCAGTCCAGAGAGAAAGCAAGGAAGAGGGAAGAAGGAAAATGAAAGCTTAAAGGGAAGTGATTGAGAAATTGATATGCTAAATGAGGGAGGGTATTCAAATAAGGCAAGTTTTAGAAGTTATTCATTGGCTAATTCCGTTACCGTCTTTGTGAGAAAAGGTTTTTATTAAGAGGTCTGTGGAGTTTGTATGTGCCTAAAAGGGGAAATCACCTAACAAAGGAGTACACACAAACTGAATGCACAAGTGCTACAGAAGCTCAAAGGCACATTTGCTCTAGAACAGTTAAAAATCATAGCTTATCTTTCATTGCTGGTTACGTTTTCAAACGGTCAGCATTGTCCCTCTAAAAAGCTCGCACAAATTTAGAGAAAGTGTTGCCGATGCTAAACTCAATATGCTGGGGAATACCAGCGACGGTTTCAGAGGTTACACAAAGGGAACAGTGAGGGACTAATGAAGAGGTGGAGGAGGAAAGTGGGAGCGGGCTGAAAAGACCCGATGAATAGATGGTGAAAGAGTGGAAGACGGATTATGAGGTCAAAGCATGAGCTGGTGAGGGGGGTGTTCTGGACAGAATCCCAAATGTTCTTGTTGCTTCTCACCATTCATTTACACCCTCTCACCTCATGTTTTTTTTTCCCTCTTCTTCTCCGTCTCTTCTCTGCAGGAAATGAGAGTTCAAGGCGTCGCAGCAAAGCAAGTCTTCAAGAAGGCTGAATGAAGTCACTGAAAATGTTTTACAGTGAATAGTCTAATTTTAAAGGTAGCTGGTATGAGAGTCGTATTTATAGCATTATTTATTAACAATATATTTGAAGTACAACTGCAAAACTGAATATTTGTGGAAAAAAACATTGTTCTGAGAGAAGAGAGTTGTAAAGACAAAGGTCTTTCGCTATGTTGCACAATCTTATAAAGAAGTGATGCATCTGTCATGTTTCTTATTTTAAATGATAAGGTGTGTGTGTGTGTGTGTGTGTGTGTGTGCATGCGTGCGTGCGTGTTGCTGCATCTTGATATCTAAAGTGATTTTTATGCATTATTGCACTGGAACCCTGAACTTCTACAGAAATTACCAAATGGAAGTGCATGTGAAAACTGTCTGGGACAGTCCGATCGGACGCTAGCTGATCTTTAACCTCCGGCTTCCTGGTTCAAAGTCCGCGTGATGTCGCGTTGCGCCCGTGTGACAGTAGAACACCTAAATATGCATTCACTGCCAGTGAGTGGGCGTCATGCATCCTGCCTCCTGCACTCGCTTTCAACACTGCAAAGGCTGAAGAGGGGAAACTGGCGAGTACACGCTCGCGCTCAGCAGAGTGACCATGCTCTCTGCTCAGCTGCACTCAATCAAGATGCCAGAGGAGGGCTGAGGGTCAGTCGTGTGTGAATGTATGAGTGATGAACTGAAAGGTTGCAAGTAAAACATGAAAAACTGAATTAATTCAATGACTGCAGGTGCTATTTTATGCAAAATTTATTACAGAAAACATCCAAATTGCCATAAAGTGACTGCAAGCACAAAACTGAAAGGATCATACATCTTCAGCTTTTAAATACAACATGTCCTCCAAATGTTAGACACATATCTGAATACATTTTATTTTTTCCCTTTAAAATGTCCAATTTTAGAACATGTTTCTTTTATTAGCATGAAGACAACGTCTGTTGTGTTTGTTATAACCATTAGTAGATCACCTGTTTCCAAACTTCAGTGTTTTTGCTAGGGTGACCAGATGTCCCTTTTTTTTGTGGGACTCCGCAGCAGTTTTATGACATCTCCCACATACAGAAGTCCCACATTCACACTGCACTTTCCTAAACTCTGTTTTGTTTTTTCTGTTTTGTTTTTCGCAGGGAAGGTTCTTTATTCTGTCCCATCAGAGCAAGAAGTCACCAAAAAGTTAGCAGCTTGTTTAATCTGATGGAACCTACCACAAAGAAAATGATTTGGCAGATAATTTAGATAAAATTATACTTCAATTTCACAGATGGGGAAATATGGCACGAAGTGACACAGTGCATATGTGTTATAATTAACTAGAAAAATCTTAATTCTTTTTAGATATAGCTAATATAAGAACATGAATCGTGAATACAAGGTTAAATAAGGACTACTGCATAACAGGTTAAGTTAGTTGGCCTTTACGTGCTAGACTCATGTCTGATTTATTGTATATATTTTTTAAGTTGGGTATGAAACTTTCAGACACGGCATCTGGTCACCCTAATCATAATTCTGATCATCACACAAGCCTAAGATGTAATATTTCCTTCAGTTGATTTGCTTGTTAAGGTCAGTTCTCCATTAGTAGTTTAACGTTTGGCACCTGCGCCATTTCTTCATCTTTTTTCCTCCAATATAAAAAGTACAGCATAAAAAAGTAAAAGCAAATAACTTTTATATTTTTCAATTGTTTCCTTTTTTTAATGTTATATATAATTCTTTTTTTTTTTTAATGTTTTATATAATTAAAACTACAAACTAGAAAATTACACTTGAAAAAAATCACATTTATTCTAAATAATATCTAGAGACTGATTACCTCAAAAAATGCTTCTGTTCTTGGGGATACATTAAGGCTGAGACTGTTGGATTTTTATAACGTCACGTAGGTTGCATTTGTCAAGTCTTTCCATACTTAACAAGCTTGTAAACAATTTTAAGACAATTTTAACAGAAACATAGAAAAGCAAACAAAGATAAAAATAATATGCTCAGAAAAAAATTGCCAGCACCTTTAGACAAACGTGTCTGCTAAATTAATTTTTTTCCCTACTTGAAAGGATGATGCTTCTCCTTTCTCTCTTCCAGCTCAATCAGCTGTAACTGTTCAAACTTCTTTTATCTGAGAAGCTGCTTACAATGATGCTTTCAGACTTTCTCTTTCACTGTTAGCTGTCATTTCAGTGTTTAACTCAAATAACTTAAACCTCTTATTTTTAAAGCTTAAATTACAAATAAACTTGCAAACACCCTCACCATATGGTCCACATATGGTTAAGTGTCTACCAAAGGTCATCTGCTCATGTCACAGCTGTTCCTCCACCCCTGACTTCTTCCTGGATGATGGAGGGGCTGGAAGAAAGGATGGCACAGAGCAGAGGAAAGAGAAATACGCTTTGAGGGCTCGTACTCCAGCATCCTCTCTAGGAGATCGAAAAAATGGTGGTGTTCTCTCCCGTGTGATAACAAGTATTCCTGTAAAACAAGGAGAGAGACATTATATTCAAATGGTGGGCACCGAGCAGATAATGCTTATCTGTGGTCCGCCTGCCCACGGCTCACCCTTAACGGCTTGCATTTGGATTTGACGTAGCGTCCGGCTTTGGAGCACTCGTTCCAGTCTAGATGTCCACGGTGGAAATACTTCTGCTTTCTGAGAACCAAAATGAAGAGTCGTCAGATCAAAGTGTTTCAGAGTTTGTGACAATGAGAGGGTGCACGAGCGGGATACCTGCTCCTCTGAATCATCCTCTGAGGAATCGGTCCCTGTACTCTCTCTATCATAGCAAGATGCTCCTTGTTGTCATGAGTCTGTAAGTGGACACAAGAGGAAGTAAAGACCATGACAAATAAAAAGACAAAGTTCGTCTTACTTTTATGTCGAATGTGTGACCTGGAAGAGTGTGAACCCTTTGTAGTATTCAAACAGGATGCAGCCGATACTCCACACATCACACGGTTGACTCCAACCCAACTCTGTGGAAGAAGGAATAGCTTTGTTACCAACTGGACTGGGCAGGTCCTGGATACTCCCCGAGCTAAAATGACATTTCTTACCAAGTATGACCTCTGGGGCTCGGTAGTGACGAGTAGAGATGATGACAGAGTGGTGTTCGTGGTCAAAGGTGGCGCTGCCGAAGTCGACGAGCCGCACCGTGGTGTCGTTTACCCGCCTTTCATTGCACTTCTAAATGGGCGACAGGTGGAAACACTGTAAACCCTCCCAACTTCGCTCATTTAAAGTATAATCTTTGTATTTTTCTGCTATTGATGATGCTTTGATAAAAATGATAAAGAGCATTAGGCTTGAGCTAATGTGGTGAAAATAACATAAAAAGTTATGAACAATTTTACAATACTGCAACATGGTAGGACAAAACAAGAACGAGTCTATCAGATTAGAAAAACAGCAACAAGAAAAACGCTACTATCGGCTGTTTCCATGTGGACAAGGGGTCACTGTAGCTGGTAGCTCTGCATGTTTGATGTGGTTGCGTTTTACAGCAGATGCCCTTCGTGACACAGCCCCACCAGCAGATAAACCCCCTTAATCTCCCACTTCTTTTTTGGTTGGATTAAACTAATTAGATTAAACATCTCAATCAACTAACTGAATCAACGTCTCACGACGTCTCAATTAACCCAGTTAACCTTAAAAAACCCTGCTTGGTGGATTTAACTAATTCCAAGAAAGTCAACAAGCTTGTTTTCCCTTTTTTGCTAAATGCAACACTGTGTCTCCACTTTGGTCTTGTCTGTTCACAGGACATTGGTCCAGAAGCCATGTGATTTGTTCAGATGCAAACCAAGCCATGGTGCCTTCATAAAGTTTAATAAGCTTGGACATCCTGATTTAACAGGAAGCAGTAAGGGTGTATTTAGTCTTCTTTTTTATGTGGCTGTGAAAAACGAAGAAAAAGTGGAGATTTCCATAAATAAAAATTCAGCAATATGTCTCAGAGCTGCCACATATTTTCCTGCAAAGGTCAACAAACAAGCTGCAGCCTTCCTGGATAAATATGAGATCATAAAAAGCATACATGTGGGTGTCTGATTTCTGCTGAAACAAATTTGCACCCAAATGAAAAGCTGCATTTTTCTGCCATCATTAATCCCCGCTTTTTCTACCATCCCCTGAAGCGCTCGGCCATCACGCCTGCAGCCATTTCTGACCTTCTCGGCGTTGTATATGAGGGAGTAGTCCGAGTTGACAAAGAGGATGTTCTCAGGCTTCAGGTCAGTGTGAGTCAGGTTGTTGTCATGGAGAACTGCAGAGGAAACGGGAGGGAAGTTCAGATGAGGAAGTTCATCATGAGCAGACACACCTCAAATGTGGTTGATTGTAGACAGCTGGATGTGACAGATTTACAGCAGCGAATTAAATGTTAGTAAATAGGATATTACAAAGATTATATATCAGAAACCCGAATGAAGCCACTCTGTCTGATGAAGTGTTGGTTTAATTAAAGCAGAGGGACTCTTTGATGGTGTGATGCGTTCCAGCTGAGGAGTAACCTCCATGGCCGAAAACTGAACACGAGGTGAAGCTGCCAAAAACTACAGCTTCTCTGATGGCCACTTGAGGCCAGTTCCAAAAGCAAATCAATCCCCATGACCCCATGTGTTAAAACACATGTTTACAGTACAAAAAAACCTTTGGCTTCTGTGGATAGTTTCCACTTTCATAACAACGCTATAGAGCTGACCTTTTTGTAATAATTCATCCACTTGGATACTAGAGTTAAGGATGTTGCTGCTTTGACTGGCAGGTCTCCCAACACATGCAGCTGGAGCCAAGTGGCATTTGAGTTTTTAAAAAAGCTTTTTAATAGAGAAATTTAATATTATTACATCCTGTGTGGTACAGGTTTAGTTTGCAATATCTGTGCATTGCACGTGCATCTAAAAATGTGATACTTCTTGTCTCCAAAAAACGAAAAACAAAAACATTTTAATGACCAAAAAAGTAGCATTAAACTAATCTAAACCAATGTGTGAAGTCACAGTGGATGAACCCATCTTCTATAAAATCGGTGGTTGCAGCTCATCTTTTGTGCTGTTTATGTTTAGATATTTAGGAGCGCATGCTCTGCTTTTATTTTGGAGAATCGTAGGCCGCGGTTTACAGCATCCTGTCTCATTCTGAAGTTTAATTTGCCAGCATGATATCAAGCGAATGATACCATGTTATGGCTACATAGCAAATGGTTGTACTGAATATGAAATTAATATTTGATATGACTAAATTATAAATAGCAGACTTGTCTGAGATTTGCAAATGATTGCGTTCGGTTATTGACTAGAATTAATCACTGAATGATATCAATCATCGTGAATGAAATCAATCACTCACTGCCCTGACTGCTCCTGCGTCTTGCTCTAATTTGCCGTGTTTAATCTGCTTAGTCTCATCCCTGGCATTGATGCAGAGGTGCAGCAGAAAAGGGAAAGTGGTGCTGCACACTCTGTATGATGCATATTGGACTCACAGCTGACAGCGTGGCAGATCTGCTGGGCCATGTGTCGGATCTGGTTAATTGGATACGGCAGGAAGTTGTTTGATTTCAAGAAGTCAAATGTGCTGAGAGACAGCAGCTCAAAGGAGATGCACACGTGGCCGTAGTAGTTAAACCAGTTGAGCATCTGCACGCAGTTACTGATGAGGAAGAGAAACAGAGGGTGAAACATAAAGCACGTAAAACGGGTAACAGCGTTTCAATCACAGACTCACTGTTTGTTGTGCGGATCCTTCTCACTGATCTTCTCCAGGACGTTGATTTCCAATTTGGCTGCTTCTCTGTATTTGTCCTGGTTCTTAATGATCTTCAATGCAATTTGATTTCCTCCTCTGTTTTTAAACACAGTTTAAAAAAAAAAATAAAAAAATACCCCCCCCCACACACACACTGCACATTGATTCAACTTAAAACTCCTGATGAAAAACCTACCTGCTGTGGTCCACACACTGAACCACTTTCCCAAAGGTCCCCTCACCTAAAGTGTCGACTATCTCATCTGCAAGACAGATAAAGATCAGCTTAATGACGGAGCACCGTAACGAGGCTGCTTACTCTTCCTACATCTGTGCTGCAACCTACATCTGTCTTCAAAGACGTCACCACTTTTGTAGACCAGGTGACCATTTTCAGAGTCCCTCTCACTGTCATTTGCAGCCCGGTCGCTTCTTCTCTGCAAACAAAGTCAGCCACATTCATGACAAGGTGGAGCAAAAGATCAAAAAAACATCAACCTGCTTCTGTCACACCCCACCTAAAAACACACCGAGTAACATCTGACCTCTGGGTCTGTAAGGAGAAAGGTCACCAGCTGGACATACCCGTGCACTCAAGCTTGCATGGTTACAGAAGCTCACACAGCTTTGTGTACGTCCTCCTGCTGAGGCTGTCCTAATGCAGCCATGATTAATGCATTAAGGTTGATCTCGAAGACCTGAGCCTGCCCTAAAGGGGGCTCATAAGAAAATGCCAGATGACTCTCTTTGGAGGAGCTGAGGCTCTATTTCCATCCACATTCTGAGACTGTTATTAATATCAGAAGCTCAGCATGTGCGTAACTGACACTTAGCGCAGGACATGGGCCACTGACATACATAAACACAACCAATCTGCACATTCATTGTTAGAAAGCTGGTGATCTTTAAGAGATCAACACATAGTGCAGCTGGTTAAAAGTAAATCACACAGACTTAGAAAGAGACACAAAAACATGCTCAAAGAATGCAGATACTCACAGAAAGGCAGAGGCAAATACGGTCCAGAAAACCCTTAAACAGAGAATGCAGCTCTGTCTTTCCCATTGCACAGCAGTGCAGATCTTCTCAGAGAAAAGACGAGCCTGAGTGGAAGAGCGGCGGATGGAGGGATGCTGCACGAGAGGTGAAGGCGAGATGCAGGTGAGGTAGCGGCAGGAACAAAAGGCGATGAGATGTGGAGAGGAAAAGCGCCAAGGTCAGCGCGATAAATAGTCAAGTAGCAGCACGGGAACAAACTGGAGGACGAGGAGTTGTGAAAAAGTAAAAAAATAGCCCGCAGTGTTGTCAGCTGTAACCAGAAGTGAAAGGAAGACACGATGCCGAAGCTTCACCACGAAAGTGACAAAAGAAGAAAGAATATCTTAGGGAGAATAGAGAAAAAGTAAAAGGCAAACACGGAAAGTAAGCGAACACGACAGCTGAAGCAGACAAACACAAAAAGTGAGGAACAGACGGACAGAGAGGAGGGCGAGCTGAGACAGACGCTAAGAATAAACTTTGGTCACAACCCCCTGAGAAAGTTTTCAGATCAGAATCAAGATGTGGGCACAGGGGCTGAGTGGATCCAGTTTCACTCAACTTACTTCCTTTCCTCCTTGCACCTCCTTAACCCCGGCAGTATGATTTTCCACACCCGTCCTCCTCTGCACGCTACATATACTTTGTTGCGTGCATGCGGCGCCCACTTTCGTCACAGAAATAACTCACAGAGGTCACAAAAATTCATTTATTTTGCAGTTCAACAGAACACAGCACAGTTCAACTGAGTGTCCAGAACAACAACGACAACACTTCTGTTTGATTGCAGATAAAACGATAAAAATTGTTAAAATATTTATCAGAAATCTCATAAACCTGGTAGCACTAAGGAACAATTATAAAAACAACACTTAATCGCATTAAAAGCTTGATAAAATGCTTTTTAAACCCTTCTCGTGAAATGATCTCTCGCAAAACACCGCTTTGTATTTATGATGCTGTTGAACACAAAGTTTCCAGTCTGGCTTTAAGACGGGACGAGTCCGATCAGGAGGCTCAGCGCTGCTTCGCTGCTTCCATGTTACAAAGGCAGATGTATTTCTTCATAGTTGGAGCCACGAAATATGAAGATGTCACCATAAGGCTCATCCTGCTCCACACGCAGCTTCCTGGCAGATAAAGATGCTACCCACCAACACAACACACACACACAGAAACGGTCACTGAAGCACAGAAAAGATCTCATGTTTTTAAAGCAAATTACTTTTCCATGAATGTACACAAGTCACCAGTATGTTTGTTCATCAGTTCATTCCTAAAGCTTCCACTAGTGACACTGTTTGTTATTTCAACCTTTATAAAGTGAAGGTCACGGGCCAGGGACCGCCACAGCCTTGGCGCTGTACCATTAATACAATTTTAACATGAGTGACAGGACAGTTCGATGATAAGTGAAAGTGCCTCCTTACCCAGAAGCTGCTGAAAAACGTTGCTGACAGTTTTGCGGTTGACCTCGGGCGGCAAGAGGGACTGAAAAAGCAGAGGCTCTACTTCACCTTCGGCCAATTCTGGCAGCAACCTGGCAACAAACAAACCACATTCCTGTCTCCAAATCGAACTCAAACACCGGGAGACACTAAAGAGAGAGTCGTCTCTGTTTTTCTGCTGGTTATTACCGAGGTGACTCCGCGGCTACTCTCGCAGGCAACTCGTCCGACACCTCTGGGATGTCCCTCAGTGTAGAAATAGACCTGGAGAGAGTGGACCTGCCAAATGATGGGTGCACATGAGTGTGATTGCTCGCACACAGACACACACCTACACATCAACACACACAGAGATCTTCTTTGATACTTACTTACCCTTCGGATAGATATAAGGGGGAGATCTCTCGAGACACCTCTCTCTGGTCACTGCCCTCCAGTGGCAGTTCACCCTGGGCTGGATGTATACATGCATATTAAAATAAATGCATCTTATCGTATTTTAAAAGCCATTAGTGTTACACGTCCAACCTGACCTCTGACCTCAGCCTCACCCCATGTGAATGCACAGAAGGTTTTAGCTTGTGCCAAATAAATTTTGCAATGCTAACACACTGAGGACAAAATGCTACATCCAGTTAAGCTATAAAAAAAAACCCCACACACACACACCTGCTAATTTAAACCTAAAATTGGCTTCTGCTCTGTTTTGTGTGTTGTGAATTTCTACCTTTAATCCAAAGACTGTATACAAAGATGGACGTAACTATTTTTATGACACTCAGTAGTTATTCAGGTCATGTTGAAGCCTCAGCCCCTTGCTAATTACTAACCGTGGAGGATGGCTTGGAGCCTGGTTCTGCAGGAGGTTTCTTCCTGTTAAAAGGGAGTTTTTCCTTCCCACTGTTGCCAAGTGCTTGCTCATAGCGGGTCATTTGATTATTGTGGGTGTTTCTTGTTTATTTGTTTAACAAAGTAGGGTAGCTTGTTGTGAACTGGTGCTTTAAATAAAACTGAGAGTAACTGAATGTTTGTGATTTGTGGTGTGTTGAATTCATGTGTGATTAGTGAGTGGGTTGGGTGAGGGATTTAAAATTCATGACACTGCACACAGTAGCAGCATGCAAGGTAGGCCTGGCTTAAAGCATTAATTGTGCTCACTGATTCTAATAGGGTTCATAATAAAAACATACTGCCTTGAAAAACTCTTGAAATTAGTGCTTGAGATCTTAAACCCTTCAGGAAAGTGTTTACTAAGATATCAGGATAGTGCAACTTATGGTGTCGCCCCCTGCTGGTCATGACGTCATCCCTAGCTTTAGTTTTTAGAACTGGAATCTACATCCATCTTTGCATATCGGTGATAATCTTTGATAATCTTACCTGAAATATCAAGCATCTCTGTTTCTGCCATTTCTCTGAGGACCTGCTTCACGCAAAGACACAAGTAATGAGTTAACAACTGTGAGTGTTTTTCCATCTCCTGCATTAAAAGCCTTTGCAGACATCCCTGCCAATCGCTGCCCACGTAACAAAACGCTTTTCCACACCTCTCTTTCGGGAACCTCGATCATCTCACGCTCTCTCTCCCTTTCAGAATCAGTGGATTCGGGGCCTCGCTCCCCAACTTGCAGGTCCGAGCCCGAGAGGGGTGTGATGGTTGCACTCTGTCTCCATAGAAACTGAACCTCTTCAGGCAAGACTGCAGGGGAAAATAGCTTCGTGGTTTATTTTTGAAAAGGTTACTTGAGTCACACCATTAATAGAGCTGCAGCGGCCGCTGAATATAAGAAGTGAGGGGAATAAATAGAATTCAAGGTTCCACGTGAAGCTTTTACTGCAACAATTTAGAGGAGCCAGCATTAAAAATATTAGCAGTTAGATTATTAGAAGCCTGTAATTAGAAAAGAAAGGAGCTCGCAGCATAGTCCATGGCCATACTAGAAAACCAACAGTGCACAGCTCTACCCGATTTCCATCTGAGTAATGAGTAAGGTATAAAGGGGGGTGAGATTTAAACAGATGTTTCTGGGGTGAAGGGAGGATGCTTTGCTCTATTTTTGGCAGCTGTGATACTGACAGGTGCAGGGCTTGTTGAAGAGATCAGCAGCAGGAATTATCCTTTGAAAGGAAAGCGGGGCGAGGAGTGGTCGCCTCGTCTCGGTCAAAGGGTCGTTGATCTGTCGCTGCAGATCGTCCTGGGAGAGCTGCGTCACCGGGTCAAAGAAGATCAGCTGCCTCCTTCTCCTCTTCCTCTTCTTCTTCTCTGGTGAAGCCACATCCTGGGGGCGAGGGAAATAGATTGACTAAAGGGGACCAGAGATTTGTAAGTTGTAGCTAATGTCTTGTTTTTATGTTACGACTTAGTAAAAGAGGGTTAGGGAGATTTTTCAAAAGGGGGTGGGGGTAGCAACCCTACAAAATGTTCCTCCAGTTGGTGTTAATCTTCCACCAGAATGGAAAACTCTCAGGGTGGCTTCACACTCAGTTTTAAGACATTTCTATACCTATTCAAGACCTAAACAAAGCAAAACAGTAATTTTCCCTAGAACTGTAATCTCTGAATAACTGATTCCAAAGATTTCAGCTGGTGAATATGGACTCTATATAGTCTCAGCAAAGTATCATACGCAAGCCACTTTATTAAGTACAGCCCTTTAACTTCTTATTAACACAAACATCTAATCAAATGGAACTTTGCATATTTAGAATTGGAAGCATTTATGATTCCAGGTCGGGACTGCCTAAAGACAGCACTCCACTGCTGAAACCCGGGATTGAACCAAAGACCTTTAGATCTTCAGTCTAAAGCTCTCCCAACTGAGCTATTTCAGCATGTTTGGGTAAGTAGGTACAGATAATGAACAAAAAGACGTGCTGAAGTTCAATCTCAACATCAGAAAGAGGAAGAAGAGAGAGATTTAGGTGTTTTTGCCACAAAACCATCCATAGGGTTTAAAGAGGGATGGTCAGAAAAGTAGTGATATAATGTGGAAGATATTTTCTTTGCACGCTTTGGGCCCCTTAGAGCCTAAGTATTGTCTAAACACCGCAGCCTACGCCAGTATTGCTGCTATGTCCATTACTTTACAACCACTATATGCCCATCCTGCTTCCAGCAAGATAACAAAGCTGAAGTCACCTTTTTTTAAACATGACAATGGGTTTACATCTCAGTCAAACAGAGCACCGGTGGGATGTGGTGAAACAGGAGATTCACATTGTGGATGTGCAGCCATCAAATCTGCAGCAACTGAGTGATGCTATCATGTCAATCTGGACAAACTTGATTCATTATTTATTATCATTGCTAGCTGCACATATAATCTTACATGTTTGACCTTCTTAAATAGTACTGGCAGTAATAAGAGCATCACAGGGTCTACAGATTGGTGTGCGTGGGAGGGGTAAAGATACAAAAATTTCTGTCATTTAAGTAAAACCCACAAAAGCCAGCACCTCCAACTCCAGACTTCTTAGACGCCTTTCACGTTCCTTTGCTGCAAAGGGCGGAGCAGGCAGGCCGGGCACAGAGACGGGGGTGAGCGGGTCTGAGGGGGGCTTCTCTGCGGGCAGGCCTGGCTCTTCCTGAGGCAACAAAATAGCCTCCTCACTGGAAAGAGTAGTGGGCTGCAACCTGACACATGTAAAAACACAGTAAGTGGATCACTGTTTGTTTGTCGTGGTATTTTCTGTTTACACAAGTGTCTCTAAGTTACTCTAGAGTGGATCCTGTGAGCTCCTTTGCTCCGTGTTTCTCCAGGTCGCCCTCTCGTTCTTCCCGTTCCACCTCTTTTTCTTGTTCCCCAGCTGCCACCTTTTCTCCCGGTATCTCTAAATCTCCTGTTAGAAAAGATTATAGATTATGTTATGTCCCATTCTACGTTTTCTTTTTCTTGAAAATGCAAAATCACAGAAGCTTTTTGCTACACACCTTCTGGAAAGTGATCTGTTTGTGCCAGCAGGAAGTCAATAGTATCTGGATGGTCATCAACCAGCTCTGCACCCTCAAACTAGCAGTGAAATAAGGCAGATGATGAGCAGAGATATTACACTGAAGATCTGTTTCCTTTTTACTCCCCTACCTCTGTAACGGGGATACCAACAGGCTCCGCCTCTTTCAGGGTGATGGCCTCTGGAGACACAGTTATACCTGCGAAAACAGAGTCGTGAATACACATTAATATAAAAGTCACTATTTCAGCATCAACTCCACAGAGGCCAGCGGAAGCTATGACTAATCATGTTTAAATTAAAGTGATCTCCTCGGCTGAGTGAAATTCAGCTGCACAACCCTTCCTGACTCTGAGGCATCACTTTCTGCAAATTAAGTGTTTGAAGGCGCTCTGCTCTGCTCCGCTTTGACCTGTCGTTTTCTTTCTGCTCCTCACTTCTGGCTAGATTTGCAGTGTGAGCTCATGCAGAGACGTGCACATGCTGCACATCCCTGAACACATTTCTACAGAAAAATAAGCCATGTGAGCATATATTATTTGTACAACTAGTGCAGGTGTATCTGCTTCAAGTGCAAAAGGTTCCTGCTTCTATAGGAATTAAGAAGATAAGTAGGCGCTGCAAAATAAACTTGATTTGATTAACAATATCCGTGCCAAAGATGAAATAAGATGCAGTAGTGATTAAAAAAAGCTTTCTGCTCCTTATTTTGGTTTATCTGTATACAGACCTCAATCTGACAGAAATGGACCTTAAGAAAGACCAACCCTTGGCAACAGCCTATACCTAGGAGGGGTTTTAGGTATAAGTAAGTAAGGGACCTTGAGAGAACAAACCTTCATGAACTACTTCATGAAGAGGAGTGGGCCAAAATTCCTCCACAACAATGTGAGGGACTGATAAAGTCACAGGGAAAGTGATTTCTTCAAGCTGTTGCTGCTAAACGTGGTTCAACAAGCTGCTGAATCATGTCGTGTACTTACCTTTGCGCTCAATGTTTCTACATTTAGGCTTTTTTAAAAATTGATTATGACAAGGTGTAATGTGACACGTGTCGTTCATTTGAGGCTGTATTTAAATGATTTTAAGACCTGCTAAGGTCATTTTTTAGTATGACTTGATACATACATAAAAAGGAAAGAAAACTAGTACACTTTTTAAATTCGGCGACTTTTTTTTTCCATTTTTTTTTTCCAAGTTCTACATCTTCAATTCAGCGACTTTAACACATCCTACCGTTTTCCAGTGCAGCAGCTGGACTGATCAGTTCAGGATGCTCAGGAGAAGCTTCTCTCAGATACTCCCAACTCATCTAAGAATCAATACAGCCAGAGAACTCTTGGTTTATGAACTAATAAGATGATTTACAGCTCAACTTTCCCTTATTAACTGCTACTATTTAGTTGCGACCTGTATTAGTGTACTGGGGCTGGGCATGGCATCCTGCAGCTGCATCACTCCAAATAAAGGGTCAGGAGGTCCGTCTGTCTCCTCCAGCAGAGTCAGGACATCTGGCAGGACCAGAGATGGTCTGGAAAACAACGGGAAGCTCAGTACCAGGAAACAGCTGTTACTTTGATAGATTGAACATGAAGGTAAATATGCTGAGCATAATTTCTCACCTGCTGTGGTCATCCATATCAATTTTCTGTGAGGTTCTCTGTTTGACCAGCTGTCCCACAATGGACTGAAGTTCCTCTGAAAGGACAACAAATGAATCAACATCAGGATCAATTATGTCTCTCCTTCCTTCAGTGTGTAAATGCCTCCTTACCCAGAAGAATAGCACACTGCCGGTGGTAGACCACAACAACGCCATACTGAAGCTGGGAGGACAGGTAGAGGGAGAATCGGGGTCGGGGCAGACCTGGACGAGGTGGTGCGACCCGCTCCAGCACGTAGTTTATGATGTCATCGCTGGATGAGCATTAACTTTATTTTAATATGCAAGCAAGATAAAAATGTGAGAAAATGACTCAAATAACTTCTTACCAGGTGCTTCTAACGTTGACTTTCAGGAAATCCCGGCGGGGAACCTTGATGCCTTTCGTAGCTGCCAGCCTGAAATGGGCACAGGGGATTAATAACGATGTTTTATTTTACTGAAGATGAAAATCGGGATTAAAAGCTAAAGAACGAATAAATAATGTATAACCTTTTAAACTGTGACAGAAAAGAACCAAAGACAGTCTGTGGTTGGGAAAAGTTTATGGTACCATTAACACGCGATTCACCTCCCCGTCCACTCGCTGTCGTGCTCCATTTTTAGAGTAAAACTTAGCAAGTATCAGCTAAAAATACCAATAGATTCTCATAGTTTTGACACCCTTTGATGGTTGTTGTTGCATTTTGGCATTTTCGCTTTTGTCATATTTCTTGTTTGAAGATATTCAAAATATTTTCAGTCAGTGAAAGGTCTGGTCTGCAGGGAGGCCAGCCCAGCCCCTGAACTCTTCTACTATGAAGTCATCCTGCTGGAATAGATGCAGTATGTGGCTTATCATTATCATTGTCTTGCTGAAATATACAAGGATTTCCCAGAAAAAAAGCCTCGTCTAGATGGGAGCGTATGTTGCTCCATAGGTAGCAACATATGCCATATTCCCATCAGACATGCAGACTTTTCAACTGAGCACTGATATGAATGGTCCCTCTCCTCTTCAGTCTAGAGGATGCTCCATGAATGTTTTTTAATAATTTGTGGCTGGCACACTGAACTGTGTTGAACTCTGAAATTTTTCTGAGCCCTGCAGTGATTTGTTTTTGGCAGATTCACGTGTTTTTCATGCAGCACCGCCTGATGGCCAGAAGATCACAAGCATCCAGTTTTAATTTCCAGCCCGTTCCCGCCTTGTGCACAGAGATTTCCCCAGATTCTCTGAATCTTTTAAATTTTATATACTGTAGATGATGAATTATTCAAAGACTTTGCAATTTTCATTAAAAAACATTACTCTGAAATCCCAGAAAGTTGATTCTATTCATCTGGACGTAATGTTTTCAGTGGGAGAAATGTTTCATCACTCATCCAAGTGACTTCTTCAAACCTTATAACATCTTATAATTCTGTGATTGCAGCCATTCTCAAACTCTCTGTGAATGATACTCATGGCTATTGATTAATGGTCATGCATCAAAATGTTACTCTGAAATTGTTCCACAATTTTGCAGATGCATTTTTTTCCAGATTGATGAATCTCTGTCTATTCAAGATGCTGTTTTAATGCTCAGTTACGTTACTCTGCTCTGCTGCCAATTAAGTTAGCTGCAAAATGTTCCTCCACCTGTCTCCCCCTCCAGCCCAGCATCTTCCAGATATGTTGCTAACAAAAATTCAAACTGAGCGAATATTTTACATGATTAAAAATGTCTCAGTCGAAACATCTCATATGTTTTCTATGTTCTACGGACAGTAAAATATGGGGGTTATAAAATTTGCAAATCACTCCATTGTTGTTTTTATTTTCATTTTACACAGCATAGGTCAGTGAATTCTTAAGTGTACTTAGGACAAATGTGCAAATGTGTACTTTTTTTAAAAGTACGTAAGTAAGTAAGTATGAAAAATGATTAGCACATTAACAATTTACCAGTTTTTTACCCTTTAATAGATGCAGTTTCATTTGCTTTTCAGCTAAAAACTGATCGAAATGACTTTGATCATTATATAATTTTCTTTTTCACGGTTTTAAAAATGTCTGAAAGTACCTTGAATAAATACAAAGATGGGAATGCCCTCATGTTACGCTCTATGTAGCCTTTGATCTCTCAATCTTCAAAGCTAGCGTCTTTCATAAACAAGGCTTCAAATACTTTAAACTTGATGTTTATGTTTGCTTAACCTCAGCTGCACCTGCACCGTGCGATCTTTTTTTAAAAACACGTTTAAATATACATATGGACTCAGAGGCAGAATGTGAGTTTTACATGCATAAAAATGTTGGTAAAATGTATGTAAAATTGATAAACTCCCCCCAAAACTAACACACAGCGCACCGGTTATTTTCCTTGTGAGGAAGTACATACATTTAATTACTTTAACGGGTCGACAGAAACATGCTTCTGTTAGGCTTTTATAGACTAAAATATTAATATGTTTAACCACTTAAAATGTACTTAAACACCCTGTTCTCTCTTGGTAAAGGAAGACTGGAACATAAAACATAACCATCAGCGAGTCTGAATGTATACTTCATGGGTTTGTGCACATTGGCAACATTTTTTCCCAGATTTAAGCTTATTCATGATTAAAAACTAGCCTAAAATACCCATGTTCCTATTAAACGTAACGATTTGTAAAACATCTTAGCAATAATGTTAGCTGACATGAAACGGCCTAATTAGCCTACTGCCGGTTACATAAGCACTGTGGAGTACATCTATGTGTCGATTTTAACCAGGTCTTTACTCACCAGATGGTAGAAAAGCATCCTGTGTGACGCTTTAAAACTGTGGGATAGTAAAACATTTCAGCAAATTTTTTGATAAATCAGTTAATTAGCGGATAAAATCCGATAGATCACAGCTTCCGATCTACATCAGAGCTGATTCTCTCCACTGTGAGATATGAATGTTTTTGTTTATTCTTCTGAGACAGGTGGTTGGTCAGTGCTGCTGTGAGAAATGACAACACTTGTATGATTTGCTGGTCACTCTGAGCACTTGAAGTAACATTTAAAGAGAAATAGGCACACAAATATTAAAGCTCGATTAAATAAAATATCAATACACTATTAAAAACGAATAAAAGGTCATAATACAGTTATTTTATTGTGAAGGGTTTGTTTCAATTCAGGACCTTTGGTGAGTTTCAAAGAGAGGACATTTTATTGAGATGTAGAGGAAAAATAAAATCAAGGCAGTAGTAATAAAATGTAAAATTTGAATTAAAAACAAAAAAACAAAAAAAAACAAAAAACAAAAAGAAACTCAAACCCCTCCAAAAAAAGGAACAAATAAAACTTGGGGTACATTGTTGAGAGGGTTCCTTAGTTTTACTACAGGTAATGGAGGTCCCTGTGGATCACAGCAGTCTTCCTCGGCACTCGGTGGAGCCGCAGCAGCAGAGCAGGACCTTACCCTCCACGCTGCCCACCTCGTAGTTATAGTCCCAGGTCAGCTCTGTGCCGGCCCGGATCCTCCTGCACGACGACACAAACGGTGATGTCAGTGCAAGAACAAAACGTTAAGATGTTGTTAGGTACATATTCATTAACGCAAATGTCTAATCAGCCAATCAAATGGCAGCAACTCAATTCATTTAGGCTTGTAGATACAGTTGAGACAACTTGCTGATGTTCAGACTGAGCATGGCACGGTTCTTGTTGGCGGCTGTGTTGGTTTGAGTGTTTCAGAAACTGCTGATCTACTGAGTCATCAGATATTGATCTATTAGAGAAACTGTGTGATGCTATCATGTCAATATGGACCAGAATCTCTGAGGAATGTCTCCAGCATCTCGTTGTCATGAAGAATTAAAGCTGTTTTGAAGGGTAAAAGGGCAGAGCAACCTGCCCTTTTACCTTTTGTTCTAGCCTTGAAACTAATAATGAGAGTGGTCGACTGCTTGTTACAGAGTTCCCAGTCTAATGCCTCTCTCTTTCCCTGCACACACTGAGCCACAAGTGCTGTTTAGGCGGGTGGCATAAATCCAGTCCATTGCTGAGAGGAACACCTTTCCGCAACTGTAAAACTATTCCTGTATGATCCAATGGCAGGCCTAAACATGACACAGCAGCGCCACCCTAAGGTTGCATTCACACAGAAAACACAGCATCTTTGTTTTTCTCACTTCCACTCAAAACTCCACCCTGTTTAACATTCAAAGTAGTGCAGTCTCAGTGTTAGACATGATTAAATAATATTAATAATTAATAAAACACTCATCAAGATAGTTATGGATGATGGCCTCTCGCCCTGTAAGAGAGAAATCCCCTAAAATAAAACGGCAGATATGTTGAACTTTACTCAACTTTAAACACACCTTCCTGTCAGTTTATTTGTAAGGGTAAAGACAAGAATTCTACTGTTTTGCAGGCATGTTCAAGTACAGAAAATCTCGGATAATTTTTTCCTCTGTTTCAAAACTCACTTGCTGGCAAAGAAGGCAACCCAGGGAAACCTCAAGTCATGCGTGTCTACAAACACATTCTGGACGAAAAGGTTCGGACTGCAGCTGTGCTGTAACACAAACAGAGAGCAGAGGTGACAACGTCAGAGGAAAGTAATCAGAGCGGCGCTCAAGTGACATAAAACGATCACACAGCAGCAGATTCATACGTTCAGATAACGTCCGAGGTTTCCTTCCAACTTGGCATCAATGATGTAACAGGACTCTTCCCCATCAAAGAACTGGCGGGTGTTTTTAGTGGGAGTGTTGTCTCCGCCTCCTCCCGACTGCCCCTGCTGTCCTCCTTTACCTCCTCCCGGCCCTCCGCCTCCAGGCACGCCTGTTTTTACCATCATCCCGTGGCTGTTTTTCAGGGCGATGCCACGAGTAGATTTCACAGCCACCTGCTTTTTAGTCACACCTGATCCAGATGTAAGAAGAGAGAAAACCAGTGGAAAGTTACGATAAGTGTGATGACAAACAAAAGCAATTCAAGCCAAGATAAGATAAATCTTTACTGTCATTGTACAGATCAGAGTGCTACATCTGATAGTGCGTTAAGACCAGTTAAAACAATGAAACCGACAACCGACTCTTTACCTGGCGTTGCTTTCTCTTTGTCCTTGTTGTCATCGGATCCTGAGCTGATGGTCTGAACATCGTCACTGTCAGACAAAGTCATCACATCCTGCTTCTTCACCACTTCAGGCTTCACTGGACTGCAAGAGATAAAAAAAGAAAGTCATCTCAACAGAAATGCTTTCCAGCAAAATGAGCTCAAGCACAAACGTGTGAAAGCAAACACGGTCTAAACACCAGTGTAAGAATGTTAGTGTGAAATCCAAACAAACCTCTTGTTATCTCCAGTTTCCTGCGAAGAAAGTAGAAAAGGAAGGGTTATTAATAATCACGCAACATGTTCATGAAGAAAAAGAGCCACCTTTTACCATTCAGCCTTTTACTGTACAAAGATGAAAGTAGGATTACAGCTTTATTTCTGTGTATTCTGTATATTTCCAACATTACGTTGTCTTTAATAACCTTTTTAAGCCCCTGGCTCGTTAGCCAGGAAGCCACTTTGCTTTTTCCCGTCTCCTCTGGCATAGATGGTGGCTTCTCATCATCTGTTCCTCTGGCTGAGATGCTCATTCCATCTTTACTATCTTGACTCCCTGAGGCAGAGGAGGAGAGAGACAAGTGTAAAAATACAACACAGAAATCTTTCTGACAGAATTAATGAGGAAACACTGCAGGAAGTGAGGCCGAAAAGCTTAAATGTGTTTCATACAATCCGTACAAAGGTTGTCCCTAACTCCCACTGTGTGGGACACTTCCCACTTAACCAAAACTACACTCACATACACTATATTGCCAAAAGTATTCAAACACTCATCCAAATCTTTGAAGTAAGGTGCACCAATCACTTTCATGACCACAGATGTGTAAAATCAAACACCTAGGCATGCAGACTGCTTCTAAGAATATTTGTGGGTCGCTCTCCTGAGCTCACTGAATTCCAGCGTGATACCGTGATAAGATGATACCTTTACAAGTCCGCTCATGAAATTTTCTCGCTACTAAATACTCCACAGTCGCTTGTTAGTGGATTTATAGCAAAGCGGAAGTGATTGGGAATGACAGCAACACAGAGCGGGGTCAGCAAATGCTGAAGTTCATAGTCCGCAGAGGTCCGCAACTTTCTCCATAGTCAGTCACTACAGACCTCCAAACTTCATGTGGCCTTCAGGTTCGCTCAAGAACAGTTCGTAGAGAGCTTTATGGACGGGTTTCCATGGCCCGAGCAGCCGCATTAAAGCCTTACGTCATATTAAACAACATTAAAATATTAAATCCTATAGATTATGTATTGGACGTCTCTCAAGCTCGTGTGCGTGAAGGCAGAAGAGTGAATACTTTTGCCAGTATAGTGTATGCATTATAAGAATAACATAAGAGAAGAAAACACTGTTGATTACTCCATCTCTAAGGAAAAAAAAGACCCAAAACATAAAAAGCATTTAGTCGCTGACAAATCTTCATAACGAAGCACACATACACAAACTCCTCATCTATCTAATGTGAACTGTCCTTTGTGTGAAACCTGTTACACTACAAAGATGCAGCTGGCTCACCTTCCTTGTTGCCTTTGACCTGCCCACGTGTGGTGTAACTCCTCCACACCGAGCTGGAGCTGTAGTAGCTGTCCTTCACAAACGTGTCATCTGAACTGTCGCTTTCATCTTCACTCTTAGACTCTTTGTCCTCATCCTCATTGCTGTCGCCTGACGAGCTCGAGCTTTGGGCTGTAAGAAAAAAAGAAATGTGAGAAATTATATGGAGAATAAGAAGATCAACGCCGCTTTGATCTCTCGTGTTTGGATTTAGACTTACTCTTCTTAGCTGGTCGCCCCACAGGGTTAGCTGACACTAAAGCAGAGGGCTGGATTTTTATCCTGGATACGTCCACGCCGCTTCCCTCGCTGTCTGAACAGTGAGCCTCGCTCTCATAGCCCTCCTTAAAGTTCTCCACACTCTCTATGTGGTCCAGGTTAGCAAAATACTCATCACCCATCTCAAGACCTTCTTTGTCAGCAAAGTCATCTGTCAGGATTTTACCTGGTGAAGCGGCAGGAAAAAAGGCAAATAATTAAGTCCTCTTGCAATAAAGTCACCACCTGAATTTAAAGTACGCTTCCTCACCAGCATAGATGCACACAAATGAGCCTTTAGCTACATCATCCAGACATCGGATTCCCCAGCCTTTGTTCTGGGTCTTGAAGAGTTGGAGACGGACCTGCAGGCCGTGCTGCACCAGCCGGTTGGTGCACATCTGAGCGTTACATTTGCATCTTTTATTACACTCATAGATCCTGAGAGAGAGAACGGGTAACAAGAAGAAAGAAGAGATAAGTGCCTCTGAAGAAAGACGGCCCAATAAACTCAACAGTAATTATGGTCTCGTAAGGTACTAAGGGGAATGAGGGTTTAGTATTGTTGTTCAGTGTCTCACCCTGTGGGCAGGCACTCCTCCAATCGTTTGTACGAATATCCTGCGTTTGGGTTGATCTGTCCCCCCGGTGTACAACCTGTAGCCTGAAGGGTCAGCTGGTGGCAGGAGCATTTGGATCTGTAATTACGTGATAACAGGTATTAAAACTCAAAGACATCCTCAGAGCTCTAGAAGTGGGAGAAATATGAAAAAGAGAAAGAAAAAAAAAAGCTGCTTCACTAACTTGTCCTGACAGCCGTCGGTGCAATCGCAGCCGACAAGGAAGTCTGCACTGGTGTTGATAAACACGCCATCTTCAGGAATACGCTCTTTACCTTAAAGAGAGGACAACATGATCTATTAGCCTGTCATTACAAAGTAAGTCTGCATTAATGTGGTGTCGGAGTCATTTTTAAAAATGAATTTTCACATTAACAGTACTATTCACATTAAGTCTTAGTATGAGCTGCTGAGTTGTTGACTTCAAAAGAAAAATCACAGTCGAAAAAGTGAACATCACATCATATAATATCACAAGAAACCATAAAGTTTTCCTAAAGGGTTTTTATCCACATATTATGCATAATTTATTCATTTATTCATTTTTTTGTTAACCTGTAGTGTATTTCACATCGTGGTTCACTTTTTTGTGAAAAACTAAACACAACAGATGAATCAATAGCAACTAGAACCGCCTTTATCAGCAATAACTTGTTGCTTCTTGTTTTTCTATGATGTCATCAGTCCCTGACATCTATGTGGAAGAATTTTGGCCCACTCATGTTTCCAGTATTGCTTCAGTTCTTTGAGGTTTGCCTGTATTTCACTGCAACACAGCATCACTGCTTGTTGTTTTTCTTTTTCAGCCATTCTGTTGCAGATTTGTTCCTGTACTTGGGATCATCTGCATCAGAACAGTGATAGCCTTTTCGCTCTTACCTCCTATGGGAGCAGTAAGTGTGTACTTAAGTTTTCACAGGACACTATGCATTCTGTGAAAACTTGTGTTTTACTCAACTTAGATTTTCAGTAACCCTTTTAGCAGTATACTGTAATGAGAATGTAGGGTGTCATAATGAACGAAAATTGATGTTATAACCAAGTTAAAAAAATGACTTTGTTGGTGTTGTGTCTTGGCTCATATGTCATCATCTCATATGTACACCTACTACTTTCCAAGACCACTGAAAATGCTCTGTTAGTTGCCATTTAAAACGAAGATTTGTCCTTAAACCCCAAATCCCACCCTCAACAGAAAAACAGTCTCTGTCCCTTTATTATGATCTCAGTGTTGCTCTTACTGTAAGTTACTTCAGGAGCAGAGCTGTTATCAATCTCATTGACGCAGGAAAGAGGAATATCCTCCTTTCCTGCCGTGATGTCTGGAATGTAATAAAAGGGCCTTTGTGGCTGGAAGGGACGATCGACGAGCACGTAGGGGTCCAGGCAAAACATCTCTAAGAATATAAAGTCACAGTTCGTCTGGAAGAGGTACTGCTGGATCTCGGCCATGTTACGCAAGCAAAGTCCACACGGAGCCTTGTAGATGACGTGGAAAGACATCTGAGGAGTGGACATGCAAAAGGTAAGGGTTACCTATAAATACAAAAAAAAGAAATACATTTTAAAGTCGTCAACCATGTTGATGTTCCTTATCACCTTGCGGTTGACTTTGCGCCGTCCCGTCATACGTCTGAAGTCATACAGCAAAGGTGTGAGGAGCGGGTTCTTCCCTCTGTGCATGCTTGTTGTTGCGGGCCGGACGCGCTTCAGACAGGCAGGCTGACATGTGTGCGCCAGATAGAAGATGCGGTCGGTCGGGGCGCGATACGCCGGCTGGTGTGGGACCTGGGCCACTGCGTGGGGAATAGTAGCAGGGACTGTAGTCAGCGGGGTCATTTGTCTCTGATACGTTTGTGTGAACGTGGGCGCCACAGGGTTTGGGGCATTCAGCGCTCTTCCGCTGTGGATTGACAAGCAAACAGGGAAAAGACAGAGAGTGAAGTTAATGCTTTCTGTGCTGAAAAACATGGCTAGTTTAATGAACACAAGGTGAACTCACCCTGAGAGGTTGCTGTTAGTGGATGCAAGAGACTGCGTGACTTTAGAGGCATGTGTGCCGCCCACCCCAGGAACAAATGGAGAAGTACTCTTTCGGGCCATCTGATGTTTATTCCTTCAAGTCAGTGAACACGGGGAAAAATAGTCAGTTAAAGGAAAAAACACTCCAACCCCTCTGCATTTCTATATTTTGATTCTTAACCACTTAAGCCCCACGCCCCCGGTACCGGGGGCAAAAAGGAGGAGATCACGTTTAATCGGTTATAACACGGGTTGAGAAATATAAGTCCAGACATGT